CTCCTGCGCAGAGACCTGCTGTTTCGTGGGTGATGATGACACAGTGGGTGAAAGAAGGGTGGGAGGAGGGCTGCTCAGTCTAGGGAGAGATGGGGAAGAGCAAAGAAAGAGCAAAGGAAGCCCCCAGTGCCCTCTCCCCGGAAAGAGAAAGAAAAGGCCAAAGAGCTTAGGACGGGGACAGCCGAGTCTAAGAACGATGGCTCAGAGCGGCTCTGCCTGAGCGCAGGGCCGGGTAGGGAAGGAGAAGCAGCAACGGAAGAGGAGGGCCAGACAGCAAGGCCTGGGCACTGAGGGGCAGATGGGCGCACCTCCCACAGCAGTCCCAGCTCGGCTGCGAGCCTCGGCCAGACTCACAACACTGCCCTAGTGGCCTGTGCCTGGTCCTCTCCGGTGCGGAGGCTGGGCAGAGCTGGGACAGGTAACAGACGAGGGAGGGCGGGCCCTGAGGAGCAGAAAGAGCCCTGCTAGGAGGAGGGACAGCGACAGCATGGGAGGCTCGAGACAGGGAAGGGGGCAGGAGTGGGACAGGCTTCTCTAGACCCACGGAAAAATCGGCTGAAATGAACAGTGTTAATTCCTACATGTAAGGGGCATTTGAAAACCTACGGGTGGTGATCATAGCCAATAATGACGTATTGTGGGACCAGCAGGTGGCGTGGTGGTTAAGGTGCTGGACACTCCCACATGGCCGATCACGGTTCAAGTCCTGGACCTGGTGGCTTGCTTTCCCACTTTCTTTCCCTCTTTCTCTGTCTCTCTCTAGTCAAATTAAAATAAATGAATGAATAAATAAAAAAAATTTTTAAATAAATGACGTATTGTATTCTTGAAAATCGCTGAGAGCAGACTTAAGAGTTCTTACCACAAAAAGTGAGGTAACGCATATGTTAATTAACCACATGAGCCACTCACCCTGTCCACACAGGTGAAAACACCATTTCGTGCATGATAAATACATACAATTTCTGTCTGTCAATCTAAAAAATTCATCAACCAAAAAACCAAATGGGGAAACACGGAACATCTAAAGACAATCTGAGAAACCCGGCTGGGATTCATGGGCTCGGTTCTTATCAGGGCAGTTTCTCTGACTGTATGTCAGCAAGACCTCAGAGTCTGCGGCCTGGGAAGAGCAAAGACCGACCGCCTCCAGAGTAGGCAGCTTCCCTGCCCCAGCCTGCGCCCGCCCGCCAGGCAGCAGGCGGCCATACCACTGCAGGAGCGGGTGGGCCAGGGGATCCAGCTTGTCCATCTGCTTCTTGATTTCCAAATACGAGCCCTGGAAGACAATAGCCACAGGATTACCTCCCTGGAGCGTGGGAACCCTCGCGCTCTCCGGACTCATATTGGGGGCCTAGGGCAAGTCGGGCACCAAAGGCCGAAGCCACAGGAGACAGGGTTCCCACCTGCACGGACCCGGTCAGGCTGAGATCTCACAAATACATGTGAAAATGACTAAAGATGCTTACAAAACACGCAGGCGTGTCTCTCTGAGTTTATGCAATTCCTACAGCCCTGAAGAACTGAATGGAAATAAAAGACCACGTCCCAGAAAGACAAGGATCAAGAACCCCACGGGGAATCTTTACATAAGGCACAGACGCCTTCTGACACGTCAGTCTTCAGCATGTCTGTCTGCACTGGGCCACGAGGAGCTGCTGCACAGAGGCCTGTCTGTGAGTGGAGCCCAGGGGAGTGTCTGCTCAGAGAGACTGCAGACGGGGCGTGGGTCTGCATAGGATGGCCTGGACTCTAAGGATGGCCACTGTTCACATGGCTGCCCACTGCATCCCCTACCCCCCCAGGAGCACAGAAAACGTCTGCCCGGGGTCTAGCCCCTTACCTCCAAGTCTCTCTGCTTGTCCCTGCCCTACCCTGGGCAGAGGTCTTTCCCTCCCTTCTCTAATTCCCTAAGAATTAAGAGAAAATTAAACAGGAACAATAGGGGAAGAATGAGCACCAAAAGTCAAGGTGGAGAGAGATGCCAGGAGTGGAGAAGGATGAGGACCAGGGCTAATAGGACGGGGAACAGAACTGGATGTTCAAGGGGAAAGACTCAGGGAGGACTTGGAACAGCTCCCTAAAGGTCACCCTACCCGAGTTACAAGCAGAACGGGCCTGGGATTGGGCAGGTGGACAGCCGGGAGCAGAGAGGGCGTGGTACCTGTGTCATCTCCCGGATGGACATCACACTGTCCAGAGCCTTCTGCAGTCGCTCATAATTCTTCTTCTGCAGACAACCAGCAGGAAGGGGACCAGAAGAAAAGCGGGAGAGTAAGAGGGGAAGGAGGGCCAGGTGGACAACAGACACGCAGGCCTGAGGAAGCGGCGTCGGGAGTCCTGGAAGAGCAGACTTAAGGCCAGCCGGGCCTGGGACTGCTCGCCAGTTCTCTTCACCAGCTGGGAGTACCTGGGTAGTCACTTCCGCTCAGAGGCTCAGCGTGCCTACCTGCAAGTGCAGCAAGTGCAGACACCAGTCCCCACCCCTCAGCGTTCTGAGCACAGAGCAACGTATATAAGGAGCCTAAGCACCACTGCACGGAAGGTCCGGCTCCAACCGCAGGCCGGCCTCAGCAGGCTGGGCACGGTGCTGGATGCGATCCTAGCTGGGGGGAGGTTGTGCGGCAGGCAGTGACACAGCAAGACCACGCCGCCAACCCTTCTGTCCCTCTCCCTCGCTCACGAAGTTAAAAAAGAAGGAGCTACAGTGCCTAATACACAGCCATGGCAGCTGCAGGAGCGGCTG